GAAAGTTGATTTTTTAACATTTTACAGTCTTTGTAGTATGTGCATTTATGCATGAATTGTTGATGAAAAAAGACATCCAAATGAAATCGTTTTAACATTCAGTAAAATAAAAAGTAGAAAAAAAAACTCATGAAGGATTTATCAACTAGATTATGCTTATACGCATAAAAATAACAAACAGAGAAGGATGAAACAGGAGTTTTCCAATTAATATTCTCACTAATCTTTTCAGTTATAAAAATATTTTTTTTTTAAATATTCACAAAGATTTACAAAAGCAGTTATGAAAATAATACTAATATTAAAGATAACCTTTGGCATGATGCTTAATTTGTAAATTATCGAACCTCGGTGGGTGAGTACTGACAAAACAGCATTTTTTTAATGGTCCTCTAAATGATATCAATCCGTGGGCAAACTAAAAATTGGTTGGTGGATTTCATCATGAATTGATATCAGTTAGAGAACCATTGGAAAATCTGTAGGGAGTACTGAACAGCTGTTTCTTTGGTCTAGTTTGGGGCTCTTCAGAAGTAGGCACCCATCGGGTTTCCAGCCGAGGACCTTCTGGCTACAAGGCCAGCGAGCGCGTAGACCATTAAGTCACAGGGACAGGTCAATTCAACGGCCAGTGTATAAATTCGAGCTTGCCTTGTAACCAGAAGGTCCGGGATGCGTACTGCTGAAGAGTCTCAAACTAGGCTGACGAAGTAGTTGTCCAGTACTCCCTGCAGGATTCCCAATAGTTCTCTAAATGATATCAGTTCAAGATGAAATCCTCCAACTAATAAAATCAAATCCCTTCAAAACTCACACTTGAAAACTTAAAATTGTCTACTTCATAAAGGGATGTGTTGGTCAGTTTAAGAAGTGTTAACGATGAAACATGGAAGCTTAGAGAAAGGTAAAACAAAAAATAAACAGGTTTTTTGCTAGTATGCACATAATATTAATGTAAAAAATTCAAGATTTCACATTATTATCATTCCCTTAGGTTCCGAGTGAAACAAACGAATTCAACAGCACATCTCAATTATGTTCTGCTCTCCGCAATTCTCTTCAGCTGAGACAGTACATTACACGACTAAAAATAACATATCTTCAACGAATTGGTAGATTTATAATCTACTTTATTTCAATAAACCACTCGCAGATGTTGAGTGAGTGAATGGAGTTTTTGTTAACATTATGGATTATTCAGTCTCCTTATAACAAAACTCAAAGTATCTGATGTATCATGATTTTCCTCAAATATAAACTAGAATACTTGTGTGAAAAATTCTACCTTAAATAAAAGTTTATTATCATACTTTATCACACATGAACAGTACTTCATTAATATGTATTCTAATATTGATTATGCCATTCAATATTCTGCCTTTGTTATCACCCTGTCAGACCGTTAAATTATCTAAAATTGGGATCATGGAGATGTGGTTTAATGACTTGTACACTCGACCTTCAGCCAGTAGATTACAAGTTCGAATATCTACCCATTTGATTCATTCTTGGTAGTATAATCACCACACACACACACACACACACACACACACATAATATGTGGTTTATGTCTTGGCACACAAAAGCTAACTGAGTTCATTAACACGGTTCACGGTTCAGACCTTTTACTTTTAACCTCTAGGCCATGGGTTTAAATCCATCACCACCTGGTGTCTTCGAAGCAAATAGGTAGAATAACAAAAGTGCTAAACAAATTAGCAAGAGCTTAGAAACAGACGTGATTTTCAACCGTTTACAGATGTCGTATTCTTTAAGAGGTGAATCTATTCGATAGTGATATCATAGGTGTAGATTTATCAGCGTAAGATATTTTGGCATTCCTTGACTAGAAAACGGTACCGCTCTCCTGCAACGTAAATTACTTTGGCTATAATGTGACTGTATAATTTAGTAACGAATGTGTGACAAGTAATCTCTCAACCCTTGTATAGCCTAAATATGGTGTAAGTAAGTAAATCAGACAAACCCATTGACTGACTGACTGACAGACTAACAGGATAATGTAAAACTTTGATCACATTTCATGAAATCCCTTTCTAAGAGGTCATCAGCTGAATATACACAACTCACATAGTAAACTGTTAATTAAAAAACTATCTCGAATGCTCCTGAACTGACTGTCGGTATGATGTAATACATGGTGCTTCATGGTTAAATCAAAATCTGAGTTACTGAAGGGTTCAAACCATCAGACTGTGTGTTAGTGAAATGCAAAAATGCAAGATGTCACAATTGCTTACAGTGTTAAATCCTACAATGAAAACCGACTGCACATTCTAAGCTCGCTTAAAATAAGTAAATATAACTGTTTTACTAAGCAGAGAATACAATGCATGTTACATTCTCTCATTTTCGACAATAATACACAACATAAATCTCAACATTTAATGTACCATACGTGTAAATCTGTCAGTCATTAGGGTTATGGAATCTAGTCCTTAGTATCAACTGAATTCTAACAGTGAAATTTACAATACAGTCACCAAAACTGGTTGAGACTGTGCTCTTGGAATTAATTTTAGTTGGTGATGAAAGGAAGCCTTGGATATTGATTTCGTGTCCTGGGTTTGAACCCCGATGGGTGCGTACTTCTGAAGAGTCTCAAACTAAGACAATAGAAACAACTGTCCAGTACTCCCAGCTGGTTTTCCGATAGTTCTGTAACTGATGTCAGCTCAGCTCATGATGAAATCCTTCAATCAACCAAACTAAATCCCTACAAAAATCAATACTTGAAAATATTCAATTGTCTTCCCATAGAATACCAGATCGAAAATATCCCAAAGTTGAATTATCTTGTCAATCAATTTCACATCTTCAGCATAGAAAATATTAAAAACTAAATGAATAAAGAATGCTCATATTTATTTAGTTGTAGGAGGCAACTAAAACATTATTGAAAATTATAAGTTTCGAGTGAAATAACTGCTCGAAGGAGGAGAAGTACTTAGACACTCTGTTCTGTCATTTATTATACATGATCTTGATTTACGCAGAAATGTTTCATAAATACAAACAGAATCATCTGTGAAGTGAAAAGAATGAATACAGTATTCTTTTCACATTCTTCTAATGAGTCATGATGTAGCCAATATCCTAGAATTCTATTTTTTTCAGATTTTTTTTTAATGTGGGCTGATGATGCCACCCAGCTGCATAGGCCAAAATAAATGGAACAGAACTCGAACTCCTGACCATTTGACCCTTAATTTGAGTGCTAGGGTCAGTCAGCTGTATCTTCCGAGTGAAATTATTCTCTAGTGAATAACAGTTTGATTTTATTATTCCTTTACGTTCCCAGCGGAACATAGGGCTTCAAGCTAGGAGCTTGAAGATTCTACAGCAATGTTTGTTTTTACAGAATGGGGTTGCTAGCCAGCCTCATGCCCAGCCTTCCTCCCCCCTCTTTACCAGCTTTTGTTTATGGCTTAGCGAGGTAAAGGAGTGCCTCGTTGGCCGGGAGTCGAACCCCAGACCATGTGCATCGTCGCCAAGAGCGTGCTAACCACTGTGCCACCAACGCACTCTAGTGAATATCAGTTATTCTGGAATAATTAGAAAACTTCATCGATCATTTCGACAAAGTTAAAATATGGACAACTAACTAACAGAGGAGGGGGAATAGACCAGTGACCTTGAAACACTGAGTGAGACACTGAGTGAATAACATTATCTTCATGATGAAAATTCTTGAATGAAGTACAATGATGTTAATCAGGATATCTGATTAGTCTTCGATTACGCCGGGAAAATATTCACGTCAAGTTTAGATTAGGCACTGGTTAGGGATAGCTTAGAGTTACATTAGGTCTGGATATGGGTGGGGATTGAGTTAGAGGACCAAATGCACCCTTTTGTTCTATAACTCTTTCTAAGGTCAACAAGAATAAATTGTTTTTTTTAAAATTGATGTAAATAAAATCACTTATTTAAATACATATTTTTTCTTATCACACAGTAGTTATTGATGCTGTTGTGAATTGAAGACACTAGACAGAAAGTCACTTCACCCTCACTTGTGTACATCGCCTCATTATCATCATCATCATCATCATCATCGCCATTATCAACCATCTCATATAATGCGCTAAAGGTAAACAATAGTCTTAATATTCATTACAAACATGAAACATGATTGATGCATATACAGGCAGGCATAAATTCGTTGTGTACTTGTTTATTTATTGTGTGTTCTGAAGAGGTCAAGTGCTATTCGAAATTAGTTTCATTTTTAGACAAAGAATGAAGGAGAATGAAGATGATGTCTACGTGTAGGTGTATTTGTGCGTGTTTTTGTTCCAGCATACAGCTGACATTCATGCACAGTTTTATGTTGATATAAGTGTTTGTATGTATGTAGTATGGAGTGAGAGAGAGAGAGGGGGAGAGAGACGCAGAGATAGAGAGACTGTTACATCCCCACCTGATAAAAGTTTTCAATGAAAATGTAGAGAAATTACTATAGTCATGTTAACAACCACTTCTAGCATACACGTGTACACATACCTATCCACCCACAGGGAATACAGTAGATAGTTGTATGTAGATCTTTGTGAGTGTGTGTAGGTGGGGTATGTCTGTGGAAAATATAAATGATTTTCCATAAGACCAGATGTTTAATCTCATTATTAAGAGAGAGAAAAGTGAAGGAAAATGAAGGGTGGAGTGAGTGTAGTGAAAATGAGACACATTGAATACACACAAACTGGCAATGCTACTAAACAAAACACACCATTCAAAATTCTATGTGACCGTATGTATAATAACAGCAGCTAGCTCCATAATCACTGCATACACGTTAAAATACACACCAAAAGAAAGAGGTTTCTCTAAATATATATAAAACAACGCACTATATATATTAACCATATAGATTAACCATATTTCTAGTAATAAATTAGAGTATTGTTAAACTGAAAGAAAAATAAATAAATAAATAAATAAAAGAAACTACAAAAAGAAAACATTTTATAACCTACCGGAGGGAGGTGAAATCTTTTTTTAAGATCTGTGCTAATTTTTAACTCATTAGCTGAATTCATTAATTTCACTGGAAAGTATACACGTATTGTAGCTAAAGCGCTATTAGCTTGACAAATATTATTTATTTTATTCCAATCCGTTGTATCAATTTCATTTGATGAAGACGACTGATGTGGGAACTCATTCAAAGAGTCATTTAATAGCATAGATAATCCTGAATTATTATTATTATTATTATCATTATTATTATTATTATTATTATTAGTAGTAGTATTAGTATTATTGCTTTGATTATAATCCACATTGTCTGAAGTAGACTTATGAAAATCATTTTTCAATTGTATACATCCATTATTATTAGTAGTAGTATATCCACTAGTTGTTTCTTTATTCTTTTCATTGTGTTTATCATTAAGACGTTGAAAGAAATGTATAGGAATGCATAGAACAGGCTGATTATTCCCATCACTTATATCCAATGGGATTGTCTGTCCTAATTTAATATCCAATATTGATCTTGAACACTTATTACTATTATTATTATTATTCCAGCATGGATTATAAATACGAATACGACCATAAAATAACTGTGATTGATGTTCACCAAAACAATCGATTAATTCAATTTTATATTGAGATAATTCACTTTTGATTAACATGCTTGACTTGATGATTATTCCAAATAAATGAAGGTGTATGTGGGTAGATGAATATTCCTTGAGGTATTTCCTTTCGATTTAAATAATAATAATAATATAATAAAGATCCTTTTTCAACCAAAATTTCACCTCTTCAATATGCAATATCGGATGATAATGATGATATGTATACTTCCACTAATGAGTATAAAGAAAACATGAAAATAAGAAATAATAAAAAAGTAGATCAGTAGCCATCGTGTATCAGTTGATCCATTGTGTAATCATAATCAGAAACGCCAAAATTTGTTTAGAAAAGTATTAAATAAAAATGAAATGAAATATAAATGCATCATTTGAATATAATACCTAAACTACTTCACACATTATGATGTTTGTATATAATATATTCTTATAATATATGTATATATGCATTAACAATGTGCATGTATTTATAGTTAAATATGTTTGTACGCATAAGTCTACGTGCAAAATGTTAGTATGTATGCGTCTGTGTAAGTGTGTGTGCGTGGTTGTGTATGTAGATAGGTGTGTGCGAATGTGTGTATTGCTAACACGATCGATCGATCACTCAGCAAAGATGCATTACAATGCTGATTTATATATATATATATATATATATAAGCTGTATACCTGTGCATTAATATCAAATCACTATGATAATGTGTGTAGTTTGTGCACAACTTATTATCACTTTAATGCTTCAAAAATTAACTCAATTTAGTTATAACAATGAGCACATTCAAATGACAAAATGATCATAAAAAAAACGTAAAATATTAAAAACTATTCTGAGAACAATTTAAATTGTAATAACCATTTGACGAAACTGTTGAAGATGACGAAGTTGAGACGAAAATTATTTGTGATATGCATGTGTTTATGAAAATACTTCAGAATTATTCTAAAACAAGTTATATTAAAAAAATAATAAATAGTAATAGTAATAATAGTAGTAATGGCATAAACTAACTTTTATATTGCTGCTTGTTGTTTTTGTTTGTTTTTTTTTGGTTTATTTGGCCAACGTTAGTTCATAAGAGACAAACACTTTTTAGTGTGCGTACAGCCATCTCTTTCTTTCTGTTAGGTTTTAAAACAAAGTTTTATAGTTTTATAAGAAGAGGTCGCAATTTTTCATGCCGCGAGCTTATGTTTTCTACTACTAGTAGTTTGGGTCAGAATCTAGCCTGTCTGTCTATCTATCTTGTTCACAGCAAGTTAGTTAGCTAGCTAGCTGGTTAGCTGTTTGCTTGCTTTACAAGCTCTACAAATATATATCAAACAATGCTAGCCAGTTATAGACCAAATAGGCTGTATGTGTATAAATGCATGTATGTATGCATGCATGAATGCATGCATGCATGAAATGCTTCCAATCGATTGGTTGGACACATCTAATGAAAAAAATCCACCCCCTTCACACCTAAATTCAGCACAGGCCATGGGCTGACTGATTTGACCAACAGAGGGGGTGATGTTGGAGGTGGTGGTGGTGGTGGTGGGGTAGTTTGATGATTGTCACTCTATTTGGCCAACTCAAGTCATATTAGGCCGCTGAATAAAAATCACTATAACATGAGAATACTAAATATAGACATGTGTTAATTTTAAGAGTAAACTCATTTCTCTTTAGCATGAAAACTAGGTGTTTATTTTCTAAATGATCAAGTAAAGGAGTTGAGGTCAAGAATAATTTTTTAGGCAATTGGTATCATTTTTTTTAACGAAAAATCATATTCAAACTTCAATGTCTTGGAAGTTAAGATGACACTCCAAATAATTATAGAACTAGGATTGAAACTAAGGGGAATCTTAACTACAAAGTACATTAAATACAATGCCGGTCGAAAATGAAGCTTACATTGTTAGATTTTATTTTATATTTTTTATATTTTTGATTACAGCTTGATTCCACACGCTGTATTTTTGGTACAAGTATGGAATTTTCAGCAATATGATATCGGTAGCCCAAATTTTGCAGGCCGACCACAGATATCAGGTGTGCGTCGGCAGGGGATCTAACCTCGGACCATGTTCATGGTCGGCGAGAGTCCTAACCACTGTACCACCGACGCACATAGAGAATTTATTCTAAGCCAATGATGACATATTTCGTGTCAGCTTTCATTAAAGTTTCATTACCTATTTTTTGTCAGCGGTATAACGCTTTGTATACACAATATACAGGGTAGAAGCACTTAAGACGTTGCAGTCGTCTTACACAACAGTATCGTTTTGTCATTAGATAGAGGTGCCAAATACGTTCGTTGCACGTTTCTCGACTTCACTTCTGCTTTCGACTCTTTACCTAGATGTCTCTTGCTAAATAAGCTCTCGATGACACAAACTGAGTTCTGGGTAACTAACTGGTTGCATTCCTACTTCTCAAACAGAATGCAGTACACTGTATACAAACGTAAATCCTCCTCTGTTGTGCTCACTGAAACTGGTGTCCGCCAAGGTGGTGTACTCTCCCCACTTCTCTTTTCATTCATTCATTCATTCTTTCTTTCTACATGACTTACCATATTCAAATGACATCAATTTTGTTAAATATGCTGACGATCTGACTGTATCTTTGCCTATCAAATGTCAAAGTAACTGCTCCAAACTAAATGGCTTTTTATCAGAAATCAGCCAGTGGTCCAAGGAAAACGGTCTAACCTTAAACTCCTTCAAATGCCAAACAGTCAATTTCACCCTTAGGCATAAATCTGACCTAAACAAACTGGATAACACTCACCTCACGAGGTGTGCAACATAGATGATGGCACTGAAATAGAAACCAAGTCGGAAATTGAATATCTTGGCGTCATTCTATCTGCTGATCTTTCCTGGTCGTCTCATATCTTGGTGATTTCTGAGAAAATAATCCGTCTTACCTTGTACATGAAGAAGTTAAGACATTCTGGAATAACCCAACCCTTACTCTTACGATTTGTTAACCCTTGCATCCTGCCTATTATTCTCTATTGTTCCCCCTTAGTTTTTCCTGGGCAGGCTACTGAAGAAAGACTATACCTTATTATTACGTAGGATGTTAGAGGTTGTCAGCAGGGTAAGCGACGTGCCACTTAACCAGCTTGTTAATATTCTGATTGACAGGCACGCACATGGACTCATGTGAAAAATGGGCTAGATCCATTCTATCTGTCTAACTCACACCACTCTCTTCATTCACGACCCTCCCCTTGTATCTCATCAGGCAGGCAGAACGAGTAGCCTTTATAGAAAACTATATGTTCGCACTATCAAGTACAAAAACTCAGCCATACCCTACTTAGCTCGTGTTCTGTGCTATAGAGAAAGCATTAGGCGTGAAACTCATGACTTATTAAATAGCCAATAGAACAACTGGATCTCGTCTTTCCAACTCATATCATCATTTCTCTCTTTTCCTTTTCTCTTCTTTTCCTGTTGTTATGTGCTGCTTTGTTTCTCTCTTCCTTACAAACTCTATTTAAAACATTCTTCTTCGTTCTCTTACACTCTGTATACCTCGACCATTTTGTTACCGCCTACACCAGGAAATATGGTCGTATCTACTTTTCTAACAGCTTCAAACACTCTGTTCAATTTTGGCTTTGCTACCGACATGCCAATATTTTGCTGTCAGAACTAACCGAGATTACCCTTAATCTGTGCAGAATTTTATTTATGGATAATGTACAAACTGGATGCAATACTGTAATAAAATTCTGAGAATTTTATTCTGTATCACAAGTACTGTTTTGGAATAAAACAAATTATTATTCTTTAACATGACTGCTAACCACAGAGGAGACTTTATCCCAGAGATTAGTTGTACTGTCTGAAATGGATGGTTTGAATGCGAAATCACCAAATCCAAACACCAGTGACATCTAAGTAAATCAGCTAAGATGAGTAGAAACATTGTCTACAGCTTGTTGGTTATAGTTAAACAAGTGATTCACTACTGACTAATGGTGAACTAAACCAAAATGACTGTCAAATGACTATATTTGGGTTTCCAGTGCTACTTTAGGTAGATTTACTTTTCATTACGAAGTCTGTTTTTGAATAATTCGTTAGTAATGTAGTCGAATTTCAATGATAATTGAGTTAGTAGTTATCTATAGTCACGAAATAAAAGTCCGTATGATATATTTTTAACAGTAAGGAGAACAAATCCTATAAAAGAGTTTGTGGTGAAGATGTTTGACCCATTTGGTGTATTACAAACACTTCACTTTGGGAGGGGGGGGCGTTAATACTGTCTGAGATCCGTGTAGTAGTAGTGACTTCACATTGGAGTTGAAAATCCGGATCTTATTCTCATTTTCATGCTGAGTGCTGTTGACTTCCACACAGACTTGACGTGAGAAATCAAAGCTTGTCTTGCAATTCCGATTCAGGCTTTGATATCCTCGCCAGTTCTGTCTGCCTGTAGTTGACACGATACTTCCCAGGTAGGTAGGTGAAGGAGGTTGTTTCTTTGAGATCTCTCCCATTTATGCTGATTGTTGTCTGTTGTTGTTGCTGTGGCTGTTGGTGTTGGCCAGGAATCTTCATTCACCTCTGTTTTATCTATGTGCACCTGAAGGCCTATCTTCTCAGGATGCTTCTTCTACCAGCTTGTTGCTTTTCACTTGTATATCTTCCAGTTTGTGGGAAATCAGACATATATCATCATCGGCGAAGTCCAGATCCTCCAAGTTTTTTGTGTGGGTCAATTTCATGCCTGTATCCTCGTTGCTCGCTGTCTGTCGCTTTGTCCAGTCTATCACCCGGAATCAGGAAAGTCATTGAAGATAGTCATCAGCCGGCTTGTCTTACCCCCATCTTCACTTCGTAGGATTCCGTAAGTTTCCCGTTGTGGATTGCTTGGCATGCAGCATTGTCGTACAACTGTTGAATGAGATGTATAATTATCGGCAGCACCCGGTAATAGCGACTGTTTATACAATACGCTCGGCTGATTCATAAGTAATGTTCATTAATAAAATATATCACTGAAAATGTTGAGAGGGAAACAGTTGAATTCATTTTGGTACATATTTAAAACCTATAAATACTTATAGTCAGTGCATCTACTACTGAGACTGTCGACTGTTACAATATACCGAGGCTATTGTTAGTTTGTAGTGTAATAAAAATAAATAGTCATTAAAGCCATATGACATTTAAATTCCAGTGGGTAGGTGCTGATGCAGAGTCCAAAACCAGGACGAAACAGCTATCCAGTACTCACAGATTTTCCAATGGTTCTCTAACTGATATCAGCTGATGATGAAATCCTCTAGCCAATTTAGATTATTGTATAAAAATCATCAGTGTATTATAATAAGGTATCACAGTTTTATTACATCGGTAGTCCATTGGTAGAATGCTCACCAACCATGTAAGTGCTACAGGATTTAATTTCTGGCTGGTGTACATCTTTACCTCCTCTAGCCGGTCGTTAGTCCAATGAAGAGGAAAAGTTTGGGCGTGATGTTAGCGACCCCACTGTGTAAAAGAGAATGAGACCACTGCTAATGAAACTTCAAAGTTCAAGCTTCAAGCTCTATGTTCCACACGGAAGGCAAAGGAATAAGAAAATAAATAACACTTTTACTGCTTAGAACTGATCTCCTTTTCAATCTGTTCTCTTGTAATTCTTTTTGTATCTCGTTCGTTATCTACTGGTATATCAATTAAATTGTAATTTTTTCAGTTAGTAATAGTTCTGGGAACTGGTAGGGATGGATGCAATAAATATACGACAACTTTTTTTACTTTCTTCATATGAGTAGACAAACACAATTATATTTCTTAGTATTTGTCTAACTTTTTTTAACCCTACTGGAAATCTAATTTCCGGTATTCAATGCATGAGTCACTACTCTTTTGTGACAATCGCTTCGGGTTAAAGATGTTTTTTTTTGGATTATAGCTTAATTCCACACTGTATTTTTGGTACAAGTATGGATTTTTCAGGAATATGATATCGGTAGCCAAAATTTTGCAGGCTGACCATTGATATCAGGTATGCGTCGGCAGCGGGGTCGAACCTCGGACTGTGTGGATGGTCGGCGAGAGTCCTAACCACGGTGCCACAGTCACACAGTGCATCATTAGTAAATACATTTTAATACAATAGCTTATAGGATAAAATTTCTTAGTTTTCATGTACAAATGCTGACTGCATTCTTTAAAAAGGCACACGATCAACAAACTAGTCTGAGATCGAATAAAATATGTTCT